ATCAAAAGCGTCTCATCTGCAGCACAACAGACGTAGCCGAGCAAGTCGATAATTCGGCATAATTCAGGTTCGGATAATTCTTGGAATCGTGTCCTATTATTATACGTCAGTGAAATATAAATGGCGATGCAGGTAACCAAATAAACATACTCTAAGATAGGCTCTAAGTCTGCGAGACTTGTCAAGGGCTCAATCCCAAGTAAATGCCATAGGCGAGTGGTCACTTTGGATAACGACGGCGAATCAGCCGAGACCTTTCTCCGCTTCGACTGTCGCTCAGATTCCGTAGCATCTGCGACTTCTATGTTCAATTCATTAACCTGCTGGCGAAGTGCTTCGTCGGAAAATTGGTCGGTCTGTATCAGGACACCCAGCGAAGTAGATATAGGAGCAGTAGCTACTTTCCGGAGCAGCTCCAAACACCTCTACACTAGAATTAGCATGTCCTTGTCTAATATTAGGTTGATACTCACCCATAGGTCAGTACCAGAGACAGCAACCTCATTTCCCATTATCGGCTTCTCAAGGGCAGGTATCAGCTGCGAGGTAACGAGTCGCGATATTGGTTCAGATTGTAGACAAGTCTTAGCCACCTTGCTAAGTGACCTGCAGAGCAATTGGTAGTCAGAACTTCCCTGATCGTCAGCTATAAGTCGTCCCAAGGAATGACTTGACATCTCCATGCAGAGAAGGACTAGGAGCGTAGATACTTTCTGCTGAATACATATATCAAAGCTATTGGTCGTTTCGATGGCCCCAAAAATTTGCAAGGCATTTTCTAAAAGTAGAGGGAGGACATTAGGAAATATGCATTGCCATCGAACCTGCGTGTCGTGGAGACTAAGATAAGCATCAAACAGCCAAGGAATATATTCCTGGAAGCCAGACATGATGTCGAATTTAGTGTAGTGTTGCATTAGAGGTGTGGACATGATAGAGAGAAGGCAAGTGGCATGTTGTAAAGCCTGCGATGCCAAAGGTATAACATATGTACATTGTTGTTGAAGTAGCTTTAAGTCTCCACTCGCAATAGACATGAGAAAGGGTTCTGGGGGTAATTGCAAGTGAATAGGGATATCTCGGTTCATCGAATTGGTTTTGAGCCCCTTGAAGTGTTCCATGATAGCTGTATGAATTATCAGCTAAGACCATCTCTACGGAACCAAAGCAACTACACGCCTACCGTTGAAACATAGCTTGATATATGTAAGGAGCTGTGGCAGGACAGGCCACAAAACGCCAGTATGAGAGGCAGTCAAAAGAATTTCATGGAAGAATAGCTCGATCTCGCCTCTTAGATCGGTGCAATGGCCGCTCCCAAGCATTTTCAAGACCTTCGGGAAGATCCACAACCACAATGGTTCGCCTCCCCTGAAGAGGAACGAAGCTGGATCAGATTTTGCAATCAGAACTTCTGGTGTTTCTCTGATAGTAATCTTCAAAAAATTCACAGCCTTTAATGCATCTGCGCGCAGCTGAACTCTGTCGGCAAAGGGGTCATCCCATCTAAGGCCTTCTAGAACAACTCGAGTATAGACATAGATCAACATGTGATTATGTTCCATTCGCTCTTTCGCGGTTCTTAATAGTTCAGGGTCATTCTTAACTTCTTCTATGATGCCGAAGAACTTCTTTAACTCTGCCGTCTCGTCCGGCCGAGAAGAGCGCGTCGAAGCAGAGATATTTTCCACCAGCTGCGCGGCCAGAGTCGACGGTGGCGGGCCATTATGATTGTTCACGGAGCCATTCGCAAGGCTCTCGCGGCCATTTGGACCAACTCTTCCATGAGATGTAGGAGCCATAGTGTTGGTGTTATTACCTTAGATCATCAGCCTGGTCCAAGGCAAGAAAGGGCTGAGTTTGAGTATTAGAAGTTGGAGACGCGTTCTACGCGAACTTAATCATCACGAAAGCACGTGATTTTAATTTGAACCTTATCGCAATCAAGGCGGGGTCACTCGTTCCCGTCACTCCCGCTACAACTTATGGAAATACATTAGGTACATGTACGTACCTGAAGTACCTAGGTATCATGCAGCTCCAGTTGCAACAGCGCATTTTGCAATTGATGTCATGCCATTCATTTCTAATCCGTACATTGCTTCCTGATACTAACACCGGCCTCTACGCCTATAGCCAAGACGCCATCCTTTTAAATTCTCGAAGTTTACTAGCAATGGCAATATTTCAAACTAAGAAATATCGGAGTGCCGCCGATGCTGGCACATTTGCCGCGAAATACCGTGCTATGATGGCAAAACACCCGTTCTTGCTATTTGGGCTACCATTCATGTCCGTTATCGTAGCTGGATCCTTTGTACTAACACCTGCCACGGCCGTACGATACGAGAAACATGACCGACGAGTTAGACAAATGACGCGGGAAGAAGAATTAGGAGTCGGCAGGACAGGACGGAGAGTCAATATGAAGGACGAATATTATGTTAGTTCTCCCCATGAAAGCTTCAGCCCCCTTCAGCTTCCACATGTATTTCCGAAGGATTATTCTAACGTATACGTATACAGAGGCTCGCTGCAAAAGACATAGACAACTGGGAACAGAAGCGTGTCAAGAGACTTCCTGGAGAGCACGACGGCGTGATATAAAAAAGTCCAGCCTACAGTTCAGAAGAACTTCCCAGTCAATTATTAGCAATGTCATACTAGAACTCAGCATCAATATGCTTCGTTTTAACGCACCTGGGTCGATCACGATATGAGCGACCCGTATATCAACGGGTCACTTCGAGCCCAAATCAATCCTCGAGCCCGATTACCCAATTATCGATTCTGATGAAATACTCACGGTGGGACTACACAACTACTGGGGGGGGGAAATACTTCTCTCGGTCACCCCATTACTACTATAGTATCTCGGAGTGGTTTCTTTAAAGCTTCAAAGAATTACCTTAATCTAGCCTGATGCGCGAGAGGTTATACTGCGCGGCATTCCGCGATTCATCCAAATACTAAAATTAGAGAACTTATGTTCAGACAACATAACATAGTCGCGCGAATCCAACAGTATGATTGCTAGTTGGGGAGCCAATTAAGCCAACTCTGTATAATAGGTACCTAGGTAGAGTTGGACCACTTCCATGCTTTCTACCGCCACCCACGACGGACCTAGGTAGAAGAGGGGTAGCTTGAGCAGCTGTGCTTTATGTGGCAGATGTACGCAATGTATTCAGTCCCGTCACTATCTCAATTATAATACGCATCAAATACGAAATATTGATTACTAGCAGTCTATTAGCAGCCATTCTCGGCATTGATATTCTTGTGTTTTACTCAACCCTTGACTACCTGGTCATAACAATTAGTCTTAGGAGCGTATATACAACGCGGGCTTTAACTCTAAGCTACGATTTAAAGGATATACATACCTGAGCGCCGCAGTCATTTCACAGCTTGAGGAAGTCTTTACGGTAGCTAACTCGGCACATTCATTTCCGTTTTAAAGTCTTCGTCTTTATCCAAGCGGGCCTCTATTCCGTTGATTTAGCTTGCAATTAGGGTTATACTTAGAAAGTTCCTCGGGTCTTTGTCACTTGTCAATAGATACGTTCATCCCAAAGCCTGACTCGTACCTTAACAATACCCGCGGAGAAAGCATATAATTTAAATAGGGCCACCAGTGAAGAATCTATCAACCACTCAAGATCCTAGAATCAATACCCACAGGCTTAATACATATTACCGCGAAAAAGTTAGAAAAGTAATCGAGCTCTTAGGACCAAAGTTAGGTTAACCCGGAACCTCTCGGTATTGGATACACCAGATTTCTGTGTGAGAAAACCTTGATGGCATCGCTTAAGTCGGCATGGAAAGCAGAGGATTAAAGAGAGGCTAGTTAGATAAAAATTCTCTTGTTAGCGCGGAGGAATTCCGATTTGAAATCACTCGCAATTGGACAATATTGGGCTTCCTTATTTTACGCTATCGAGATATCCCAAGTGACATCAGCGTGAGTTCACTCACATTCAGCCGCACACATAGAGTTTTCATCTAGACATCGCCTAATAAGTGCTAGACTTAAAATCTAGAGAGAAAAAGAATTCATTATATTGCCAATGAGGTTCAAGAGATTGCTTAAAGCCGATGAGACTATAGATACCTAGTTTAGACGAGATAGGAAAAGCAACTAAATTTTATGCTGAGCCGATTCTTGAACATCCCCACATGGCTCAAGGATCTGCAAGATCATCCAGACTGATGGGATCATATGTAAGTATGACATGGGTACCTAGGTAGATAGCCTTGCATAACTCCTCGGCAGCCTCGGTAATACGATGATAATACGATGATAATACGAAAAACAGTAACGAGAAACGGACAATAACTCGGCTTGTATAACTCGATCCCAAGAATTAAACACTTCTCAGCCTGATTCAGTCCACTATGTATGTACACAAGGAAAAAGATAATTCGTGTTCATAGCATTCCTTTTTCTCCATTTATTTCATCCCTTCCAGGCTTCCCCTCTATGTACGCCAATCTTCCAAGGTTCGTCCGGATTCTAAGACAAGCGATCCAATGATTGGCGGGCCTATGACGGATGCAATAGAACATCTGCTACATGCCGCTATTGATCAATGACGCATCCGGTCCACACACACCATCAAGAAAGCTAAGCCAAGGAAGAACCGTAATAGTCTTATGTACCGGGTCTTGTGAGCAATAAGCTTTTTTATTATATTTGCCTTCACATACATGTAGAGTCATCCAAAAGTACATTCGTAGCTGGAATAGTAAGACTTCCTGGCTTGGCCTGGGATCCACCGTTCGCATTCTTTCGCAAGCGTAGAAGGAATCGAGCTTAGCTGCAAGGTACTAGGTCTCCTCTTTTCTCTTCACCGGATCTTCAGGGGCGATCTTAATGGATCACGGAATGGCTATTAAAATACCACATCCTCCTGCGCCCCGGGTCCTATCCTCGAGCTAGAAAAAAAAATCGAAGCTTAGCTTTCCAACATACCACACAGCTCGACTCCTCGGGACTCTCCAACTATCAGCTTTAACAGTTGATATATACTGTGCAACGTAATATAAGCCTCACCGCTTACCCATGACATACCACTACGAGACTTGGTAGTATCTCTTCTTTTCTTTCTTGCACTCATTCGTACTCCTTCACACTGAAGTGGACATACTACACCTTTTATATCTATCTATCTATCTATCCATACAACTCTTATAACGGTCACGATGCGAGGCCTAAACAAATCAACACTCTTTCACAAGAAATCCAAGAGCAGCCTTCAAGGCAGGAAAGACAGCCTCGAAGAGCACTCTTCCTCTCATACGCGGAAATGGAGCACATCGAGTACCGTGTCGACGGCGAGCAGCTCTTCTGATGCTAAACTGTACGACCCGCTGTCGCTACACCCACCCTTATGTCTAAACACATCACCAAACATCATCCCAGAGTACGAAGAGGAACGGCACTTAGAAAAAGAGGAACGCGAACGCCGGTTTTTAGAACGGACGCCGCAGCACCCTACGGAACATCTAGACAACGCGGCCGAGTACTCACCACTCAAAGATCGCAACTGTTTCTTCGCGCAAGCTGCCGCCGGCCGCCCTTATGTCTATGACCAGACTGTTCAGTGGCCACTTAAGGACTGGCAGGCGATCCCGCCAGGCCTCGCTGAGCTCAACTCCTCGTCACTAGACTCGTCACCAGCTTCGTCGCCTACCCAGCACTACAACCACCGCCGGCGGCCGACGGAATGGATGAGCGAGAGAGACGCCCTACTCAAGCGCGGCGACTGGAAGCGCAGGGGTATAGTGTTCCACCTCGACCCGAACGACGAGGAGGAACAAGAGCAGCACTTTGAACTACCCGAGTGTTGAAACATTCACATTATCATATTATCATACCATATCACACTATCAAAGTCCAACTCTATTCAACACCATGTTTTACTATATGTACTACTACTACTCTATTATTACTACAACTACTAGCACCAGGGACAACCCTGCGGATTGTGCTTTGACGAAATTTACGGGAAAGGCGGGAAAGGAATAAGGCATTGAGCGGGACGGTAGCCAGTAGCCAGGACAGGGCAGCGATATTACACGACAAACGATTATCTACGGAAAAGGAAGGGGGGGTTTCATCGTGGGGTACCTGTGCCTAACTTTCTTGTACATCTTATATCTAGGGCTGCATTATTCGGGGTGTAAAACGGTGCAGGACAAAGATACCACTTGACATTAAAAACTATTTCCTCTTAACGTTACTCTACACTGGGTTACATAGCTTAGTTTTACTTTAATTATCTACCACCAGCATAGCTTCAATCAATACGAAGTTTTGTCTTCATCTTCATATTCATCTCATCATCGTCGTTTTCATCACACTTACATACATCGCTCGACATATCCCCGCTCTCGGCACCTTCGGCGGGGTTTGCGCTACGAGAACATGTAGAGTAATACTGTACATATGCCTCGTTTGGGAAAACACACATTACAGCTGAACCTAGCTCGTCGCTTATGTGCTTACCCGTCTGCCCTCTAGGTCCTAGAGCTGGCCTGGCCTAGCCTAGCCCAGCTAGAAACTGCAAGCCGCAATCGGCTAGACACGTTAGCTGATGGAGTTCTCTGCACGACTGTGGCGGCTGACGTTTGCGTCACACGACCGTTCGTATGCGTGTCTTACCGTGCTGTCTGTGTCTCAGCTCATGACATGGCCCTAAGCTTAAGTGCGTACATACGCTAGAGAGGGTGCCTTGCGGGCAAGACAAGACAAGACAAGTCAATTCGGGCGTAACTTCGTCCGGCCCCTGCGTAAGTCCCCGGCGGTGCACATACATATGTACATAAGCACATCGCCCTAGGGCTAAGACACACGATTGGCATTTCTCGCGTGCCACGGAGACTAAGTCCGGACAGGTACGAGATAGTTTCAGCAATTCCAGGTACGATCGGGACCTGAATAGTGTAGGTAGGTGAGTGATAGAGATACGTATCCTATGAGGCACACACAAAGGCAGATGCCGAGGAAGAGCGCAATTCGAACGCCACTGTTCTCATAAAGGGCGTCACTTTCGTCGCATGGGCTTTATCAATGTCTCGACCCCCCCTTCTCTCAATATAACTTTCTACGATCGAGATTGAAAAGCAAGGGCAGCTGGATAGAGCGATGGATCTACCCCCCATTGTCGCCGCCGACGTTCGTCGTGGGAGACTGTGATCGATATATTACCCGTCCGATCTGAGATGTTGAAACTGTCGGTTTCCATGACTTGCTCAACCCACTCACCCACAAAACCTATATGTTTCATAGCCTTGGCGGTTTAAAAACTTCCTCGCTTTTACTACGGAGTAGTTAGTATAAATTGTTGACTTTTATTATGGTTACCTGCCTACCTTAGGTACCTGGTAGCTAGCCAGGAACTGTCCGGGATTGTCTCGGTTCTCGCTACAGAATAGTAAACCGTAGGATATCACGATTAGCGAGCTGTACAGGTTCCGGGATTATTACTCCGGGACGCTATAGTTAAACAAACCTAAGTCTCGATGACATGTGAACAGAGTCGTACGAGTGAAGGAAATCCGTGGACCGCGGTTAGTTGAGTACATTTTCAACTGCGAATTTGCTCGTGAGTGAGGTTTTTTGAGCTTCAATAGTTCACCATTCGTCCCTGTTTTCCAACTCAGGACACGATTGTTAAATTAGTGCTGATTATTATACTCGAACATAAGTCGACCTATCGATTTACCGTTCAATTCGGCGCATAGGGATAATTCCTTAGGTACTTAACTAGAAACCGAAAACTACTAAAGGCCAACGTCATGGTTCAATAAATCCGTAATTGCAAATTTAGGCAACACACAACCAGATCTCTGATTACCTGAATTATATTCGTGATATTTCAATTAAATTTAAGTAGCAACCCAAATTATATATACACTGTAACGGCGCCTGCAGACCTCAACCCTTCAAAGCCAAGCTCGATATATCAGCGCTCAACTCCCTCCCCTGAATCATCTCAGCCATAACCAAGCCCGTCCCCAAACTCATACTTATCCCCCACGGCCCATGTCCGGCCGCAACATACACTCCTCCCTCGGGACCCGACCGAGTGCTAATAGAAGGTCCAAGATACTCATCCGGCACACGACTCAGAATCGGCGTGCCGCGCTCTGTTACGGGACGGAAACACAGTCCCTCTCTTACGACCTGTATGTCGTCTTCACCCAACACTTCTTTCGCCGTCTGCCTCAGCGTATCAATACTCGATCTCGAGATCCTACCCTTCGAGTCCGTCGCCAAGTCCGGCAGCGGCTCGGTCGCAGAGTTCAGGCCCGCGATGTATATATGTCCGCCGATGCGCGACATGATCTCAGGCGAGTACCCCGGACTGCTGGTCAGGAATAAGGCATGACAGCCGCCGTGTTCGTGCTCGCTTTTCCACTTAGGCGAAGTCACTACCAAAGAATGACCTGCGAGGCTTGACACCGGCAGCTTGAAGTGAGAAGTTGGGAACAGCGTCTTGAAGACCTGGGAAGACCAAGCACCAGCCGCTATAACGACATTGGTGCAGGGGATATCCGTCTCAGTGCTAGACTGTGTGTCCGCGACGCATATACTCGAAACCTCATCACGCACGTCGGTTTGTATGGATATAGCCTTAGCGGGGTGGTGTAAGTGCACACCGGCGTCGATGCATTTCCGCAATAGAAACTGAGATAATTGCAGCGGATCTCTGGATCTCACGATCAGAAACCTGTATTTGAATTATGCATACCTCACGTAAATTATAGGAGATCCCAAGCTATGAACTCACACTTGCGCAACAGTCCCCTCCTCACTTATAACCTCCACAACATCGCCCTCCCCCCTTTTCAGCCACGGCGGCGCCACGCCAGCCGACGGACTCGCACTCGCAGCTTCTGCACGACTAGCGCCGTCGCGAACCCAAAGGTCGATCCTCTTCTTAGACCTGGTAGCCGGTGACAGGCTGAAAGACGTGCTCCCCGCGTAGCCCCATTTCTGCGCACCGCCTTCTTTCTCGGCAAGCTTGCGATGTTCCTCGAAGCTTACTGTACCTAGGTCTGCCGAGGCGGGAGAAAACCAATCCTTCGCTAGAAACCCGCCTGCGTAACCGGAGGCCGAAGCGAACAGTTCGGGGGAGGGTTCGACGAGATGGATGCTTGATGCTGGTTGGTGCTTGGATAGGTAGAAAGCGGTTGAAGTACCGATGATACCTGCACCTAGTATTACTGTCGTAGCCATGACGGCGACATATCCTTCAATTATTTCATGAACTAAATTTAATATTCATGAAGTCTGCAAGAATAAATTGTAGACAGCGATATTAAGGCTATGACATATAGGTAATATACCTAGTATTACATATATATAAATACATAGATAGTCTTGTATATAGAATGGAATACATCAACATCTATATGCATAATCTACGGATTACTGCCCCTCCTGCCCTCTTAACCCCGCCAGTAGCCGCAGCTCCGAGAAAGGAGAACAGAAAAAAAAGGTCTAATAAAATAGAAAATTGAGCAACATAATTTATAGTTTGATAACCTCGGCTAGTTACATAAACTAGCGACATTTGGATAGGTATATAAATCAACAATAGAGCGGGCTTACCTACCATATACCTATGTACCTACTTTACTGTATCTCCTCTCAAAGACCTTAAAGCTACCATGTCAAAAGTCTTCATCGTTACCGGTGCGAGCCGAGGTCTCGGCTTAGCTGTAGCACAAGCCTTGATTCAGGCTTCCCACAAGGTGTTTCTGGTTGCCAGGACTGAGAAGGATATGCAGACGTTGAAAGCCCAACACTCAGCATCTGTCGATTTCATAGCAGCAGATCTAGCAGACCTTAAGGTGTGTCTGAAGTTACCAGCTCTCACAACTATTAACTAGATCATATCATTGTGAAAGTATATAGCTCACATTCGCTGTAGGTTGCACCCAAAATCATCGAATCGGCGCTAAAAGCGTTTGGCAAGATTGATGGTATCGTTGTCAATCATGGCGTCGTATCTCCTATCACAAAAATATCCGAATCGAATGCTGAAGAATGGAGAAAAGCATATGATATCAACGTGTTTAGTGCTATAGCATTGGTAAAGTCTACCGGGCTAGGCTGTGGTAGTGCTAGTATTGACTCTAATTACAGATTAAAGAAGTCATCCCCGAACTTCGAAAGTCAAAGGGCCGCGTTATATTCGTCTCTTCTGGAGCCGCGTTTGGCGCATATGCGGGATGGGGCTCTTATGGCACCTCTAAGGCAGCTCTGAATCACTTTTGCAGCCATCTAGCTGTTGAGGAACCTTCCATTACTAGCATTGCCATTTCACCCGGGAAGCTCGATACTGATATGCAGAAAGAAATAAGAGACACGGGTAAGACTGGAATGACACCAGAAGTTTATCAGAGCTTCGTCAATGAACATGAAAACGGACTGCTGGTGGATCCTAAAAAGCCGGGCACTGTCATAGCCAAGCTGATTAACAGTGCACCCGGAGATTTAAGCGGCAAACATTTCAGGTACGCAACAGAAAAGACCCCGTCTGAGCTACTAGTATACTAATGTGTATGCAGATGGAACGCGACCGAGCTTGCAGAGTTCCAAGAGAGCTAATGCAAGGAAAACCCGCGGAATAGGTACTAAGACTATACAATATATTAGCTGGGGTGAACTTTTTTGGTTGTACTAGAGAAGGAACAAGAAGATAGCTTCAGCCGAAAGATGAAAAGATTCGGTTGTTTCAACATTATGATTCAGGAGCACGTAAATCATCATAAGCAGTTATGTTTAGAAGTTAGATATTTGTCATACCTTACTAGAGTTATATTTCTGGTTCTATAATCGGTTCAACAAGACGAAAACCATGTTCATATTGGTACCTTTGTATAACAGGCAAATTAGCTTCTTACGCCTTTTAGCTAATACAATTCTTTCATTATACAGCGAGAGCGTGGTTGATCAGGTAGTAATGGGGTCCGTCATGTAGAATCGGTATTTGATAGTACTTTTATTATTTGGCATCATATTCGGAGAAGCTATGGGATAGTTGGTATGTGCGTATGTATATACCTTTTCTATAAAATTAATGCAGCCTGCAAGTCCACTGTTAGTAGATGAAAGCGGAAAAATGTCTTAAGTGTAAAAATTGAATAGAATAAACTCAGAAATGTCGTTTGGCTAGACGTGTCGATCACCATATTGCCATTAGGCTATTGTAAGACTGGGGCGACAACGTGTTCATCATAGAAAAGGTGATATATGCTATTCAAAAAGAACGTACCTTAAAGGATGCAATACATAGATTGTTGCTGCTTAGTAGATTTGTAAGAAAACTGAAACCCCTAGTAAGATGATTTAGAGGTATGGTACGCAGGTATACCAAGAAAAATCCTGGTGAAGATGGTAAAATGTTGATGCTCTTGGGAAGAAATTAAAAGGAAAGTTTGATGAAGAAAAGAAGAAAAAAAAGATTTTATCGGGAGGTGGATAAAAAAACATTAAAGTGGATCGTTACGCCACAGTAGTTTTCTTGCATCAGCCACAGTACCCACCGGTGTGCCGGCTGTCTAAGGTTGCAGATACAAAACATCGCTGCATCCTCTTAACGAAGGTGGGAGGTAATTGCCTTGTGTTTCTTACTCTTATTTATCGCGTCCACAAAACTCTTTAAACTTTTCCCATCATTTCTTACATTTTGATTAAACTGTGAACCAAACCAGGAATACGCGATCGAAATTGCCGCGTTGCAGATATTGTCAATCATTTCTCACGACTACCCACCTTTCCCTTCAACCCATCTTCATCATGTCGGATCATGAGTACGGCGGTAAGTTTTTTTTATATCTATTTTAGTTTTATGATTCCAACTCTTCCATGCCCTCGCAATGAGATGGACACAAACCACACTGGCCATAAGCTTTCCAAATAAGACGGTAAATGAAGCAAACTTCATTCATTGTGATCAGGACAATGACGAGGCCTGTATCACTATCCCAATATGAGTCCTAACTGCTCGAGGCCTGGACTATTTCTTAGTCTACCAACCGGATGGCTACTACCACAACAATAGGAAATAAATTGAATAATAAATACAGTGACTCCTATCATGGTCACGCGTATTACTGTATCAAACAGAAGCTCGCTGTCCTGGTTAATGTCTTTTCGTTACATATACCTCTACCTGTCTATCCCTCCTAGAAGAAAGCAGGACCTATTTCGCAGATATACCATCAACTTCTACTGCAAATCCGACATATCGCCATATACAACTTTATTTCAATATACGGGATGGGACGCCCTAAGAAAGACACTTCCTGGGATTTTCCGAGCCATTTTGGTACTGACCTGAAGCCGCGCTTATCTTTCTTTATTCCCTTCTTAGCCTTCTTTCGTTTACAAAGCTTCAAACTGATAACTAACAACTCTTTAGGCAGCGATGATCTTTCCCTCCCCAAGGGTACGTGGTAAACATCTTGCTTGATTTCGCCATCAGTTGGTTTGTATACTAATGGAATCCAGCGACCGTCCAAAAGATAGTCACCGAAATTCTACCTGCATCGAGCGGCCTCTCCTTTGCTAAGGAAGCACGGGATCTGCTTATCGAATGTTGCGTGGAGTTCATCACTCTAGTGTCTTCGGAAGCTAACGAGATCTCCGAGAAGGAGGCGAAGAAAACAATCGCGTGCGACCACATCACCAAGGCACTGGAGACCCTAGGATTTGAGGACTACATCCCCGCCGTTCTCGAGGCTGCGGCACAACACAAGGAGACACAGAAGGTTCGATAGCCCCTTAACTCTTCCTACTGCGTCCTAAACTCTAACTATCGCAGGTCCGGGAGAAGCGTGGGAATAAATTGGAAGACAGTGGGATGACTCTAGCGCAACTGGAGGAGATCCAAAAGAAGGCATTTGAAGAAGCCGCCAAGCGATACAATTAAGCCTTCTGGCAGGGCTCTAGCGCATTCATCTGGAAAATCCGGTGTTTATTAGGGTAGGACTTATCTCTTTGTCAGCTCGGTCAGCAACCTGGTTATCACACCCTCGACATAGTGACGATAGAAGACGAAGCATCTGATGGCGTTGGTTCGAGGAAATGCGGGATACTTATTTATGATTTCGGCGTTGAACACGGTTACAGCTTGGTGGCAGGAATAAATACAAGGAAATATTAATATGTGCACTGCCTTTTACTGATTATATCTGTGTCGTGGGTAGCTTTTATTGTATGTCGCGACTTATACCCCTTTCTTTAGCATGGTCGGTTTCTCTACTTGCTGATTTGACGGCAAGGCTGAATCACGTTTATAACTCTGAATATCCCTTTGTCATATTTCAACATTGGCTTGTGCCTAAGAGGTATGGGTACTTACATGATGCGAGCATGGAAATGCCTAACGTGAAAGCTACCAATCGGCGATGACAACGTTGCTTTAGATGTAGGTGTCTAAGCCAGGCAAGCAGGCTCTGGTATTGCTAAGCCACAATAACTTTATCTGCCTGTCTTCGTTATCCGGGTCAGCCTGCATATCGGGCTCGCCGTGGTCGGTTGGGGGAAAGAAGCAATCGGCACAATAAACTCCAAGTCCACCCTCCTCTCCGAATAAACCTTTTTTTTTTTTCCTTACTTAGTTTATTCCATATCAGCTGAGTAGGAATGGCAGTATTCTCCATGGCAACATGGACGTAATCTCAGCGGTCGCAAGCTTCATTGCGATCGGGCAAGCACTTGCGGCTACGCCAAAGATCATCGATATATTGACATCTCTTTTCGGGGCCAGGCATGAAATGATTCAGTTAACAAATGAGGTCAGTCCTACCGTCTTTTCCGCAGTAACTCTAGCTAAAAGTCCCAGCTGGTATTACTGAATGAGTTTGGTATTCGCATAAGAGAGAGGATCCAAGATTTACCACATGATCCGAGATTTGAAATACCACAATGCATCTCGCTATCAATGATTGAGGCCAATACGGCATCGATTATATCGCAACTTGAAGAGCTGTGCCGCAAATGCCAACAAGAGGTGAAAGGAAATGGCCCTATTAAATTCTCCAGGGTGAGGTGGCTCTGGTATAGACCAAAGATTACTTCACTGAGCAAAAGGGCAACAATGAACCGTGGATACTTACACGCGATTCTCGATAGCGCATCTTTCTTTGCGTCGACGTATGTCTAATATCACCCCCAGTTCTAGGAATTAGTCTTACGCTGACAATGCTCAAGGTCTAATGGGAGGATGCTCTTGGATATTCACACAATAGTAACAACTCAAGTACAGCAAACAACCCTCACACAGCCTCCTTTACAGTTCATCGGCCAGGAACATTATGACAACGAAAGTACATCTCGCATTATTACCGACGATGATAGCTCCGAGGCCATAGCTAGTAGTATCAATACTACCATGACACAAGAAATATCATCGCAACTGACTTTATCAAATGTGTCTAGAGAGGGCTCGCTGTATATGAACCATAGCGATGAAGAGACTCAAAACGATGAGCCAATAGTGCAAATCATGGCTGCGTTGCGAGGAGTCTGTACCAAAGATTGCGCATGCCAATGCCACTCGTCTACTTCCCGAATCCGACCTCACCCTGCCACCCCAGTCATTTATGGATGGCTTAAGTCTGCTTATAATGGTGCCCCACGGCTCGGTGCGCAGAGTTGTGATGTGCCTACCTGTCAACGGGCTCGTTCACCTCGTCACTTCAACTTTCGCGTTCCTCTCCTCTTCTGCTCTCGGACGCTCGAGGCAACTTTGTCCTTTAGCAGTATTATTGGCGCCGGCGCTTCCCTTCACCTACGCGTCCCACGTATGCTTTCAATTGAAGATGATATTCATTTCCATATTAATCATTCAAACATGAAAGGGATCCTTTGGGAGATGTCTTATAGTCGGTTATCTCCTCTTGACCAAATTAGGGACTGTAGTATTTTACTTGTAAGCTGGCCCTTCCTCGTAGGAACGATCCACGATAATAATGATAATATGTACTAGAGACTTCTTGATTTAAGAGGTGTACTTGAAGCAATACCAATCCTCTTAGACGGCGCGAGGTCAATTGTTAGGGGCACTGATACCGGAAAGTAGGTTAAGTGTTTTGAAGCTCCATTTGTTCGCATGTTCTTACCAAATCGTAGACAAGCAGCAATGGTAGCTAGACATCGGATGGAATTCACCTATCCGGACAACAGGGAACAGACCATCTTACGAGAAGTCATTGCACTTGACGACGAAAGTGCGTATGATTCCTGGCGAGTTCATGAGGCAGTACGAACCGGCGGTGATTTAATCGAGGCTTTAAAGGAATCACCGGAAGATATCGATGCACTTGATGACACTGGAAACACTCCTCTACATCTGGCCGTGTTAAGACGTGATAATGCGGCGATGCAAATTTTGATATCCCATGGTGCAAACATGAATTCTGTTGATATATTCCACCATACGCCGTTATGGTCAGCAATATTTCCCTCGAGATATGATCAAGCTCGGATTTTGATTGACAGCGGGTGTGATATAAATTTTGGTGATCGTCCTGATCAATCGGCTCTCCTTTATGCGATAAGATCCGGATCAAAAGGAACAGGAAAGATCACCAGTCTGCTCCTACATCACGGTGCTAGCACTTTTAATTGTGGGAGAAATGCACTACACAGGCTTGCGGCAAGTAATAAGGCGGCAGATATGGAGGAGAAGTTCAATTTGCTTATCGGTGCTGGGGTAAACGTTGAAGAGAAGAATGCGGTTGGTCGTACGGTTCTGATGCAGGCGCTCCACTCTAGAAACGGACATATGCTTCGCTTACTAGTTGGTGCTGGCTACAGGTTCGATGAATTCCCAAGTAACAAGAACGCCTTGATAAAGGCTGCCTGGCGTGGTTATACAGAAAGTATTAACATCCTAGAACAAACCGAGTTCACAGCAGACGTGCGCATGCAGAACAAATATGGATTGACACCATTGGAGATGTTTGAATGGAGAATGAGAGCCGATCCGGTGAAATGTGCAATATACCCTCTTCTAAAAGACGATATCGAATCATTTTGGAAGTTGCTCCAGGGTGTCAGGGACCGCTACCTAACCGCCGAGATTCAGACTTTGGAAAAGGTCATCACGCATATTGAGGCCGAAGAAACTGAACTTGCGCGCGAGACTCTCCAGTCTGTCATACAAGAAAAGATCAATTGGAATATTCCAGCTGAGTACAGGACCTTCCGAGCCATCGATGTCCAGATAAGAGAGGAGATGGCAGAGGCTGCCATTGAATCCCTAGAGGAATTTATTGAGGTGTCTAAGGAGAGGATCGGTTCGCACCCTCAAGACAATGACTATTTTTATGAACCTATTGATGAAGAGGGACTAGTGATCCAAGACATGCAATAGCTTGTAAGAAGCCTTGCGCTTGAGACACTAGACTTGATGGGATATGCTCATCGCTGAAAGACATTGGAAAACGGAGGAAGAGGTATCATATACAGACTGGTTCGATCCTTATTCACGAATGATGATGACTTTTCTATATTTTCTTACCCTCTCTCCAATTTATATACTATATACTTACCTACCTACCTATATATTCTATTCAACTAACACGCATCATGCTTTGCCTACTTTGACGGTTATCAAGTAAATCAAATCTTGTGTATGTAAACTACGGATACTGGCCTTGGGTAGATACAGTCACATCTCGGTTTTATGCGTCAGTCCCCTATTCCCCCACCAAACTTCACCTATTTTATACTACCATAAAGTCGATTGAATAAAGGCTAATTAAAGAAATATAATATAGGTATATAGGTATATTTAAATTAAATCTATTGCCAGTTGTTACTTTTTTAGTTATAATTCTTTTCATTTTTCTTGCTTTGTAGTAGCTGTGTAAACCGAGTAGGCTTTGGTGGGAAAACGCGGGACTGACGCATAAGAATGGTAGATAAGTGTACCTCATAACATACACCCATACACTCAGTACCTAACCATCACAAATAAGTCAGATAGCAACAGCAGCAGTTATAGTCATAAATCGTAATCAATTTCCGTACCTTACTCAACAGCAGTCTAGATACAGCATATAGACATAAAAAAAACATAACAACACCATTCTCATCCTCATCTCGATTCCCCTACACGCAAAGAAAACAACAGACCAAATTACCTCCGCCATCTGCCTGCCCTGCCCTGCTTATATCCTCCCAATCGTCTTCATAACCCCGTCATGTCATCTTCGTGATAGGTACCGAAAAATAAATAAAATAAAAAGGTTATGGAATAAAGTCAAAAAGTGTAACACATGTGCTGCGATCAACTTCGCCTTTGGAACTGGTACCACTGTCGTGAGGTATGTATAAGATATATAAAGTCTTATATAATACGCCATCGGCGAAGATGATGTTTAAGATCGTCGCCGTGGTATCTGCCTCATGTCGTGTCTGGAGAGTGGTGTTCACGACGGCGTTGCGTGTTATCGGCTATCCCCGCTGCTACGGTCTACTGTTCTCGCCTACGAGCTGCAAGCCGAGAGAACTCGGCTCAAGCATGGGGTAGGCACGCCTAATCATAGGATATAGAACAACCCGCGCTGCGAGCAGTGAATTTAACGAGCATACCCGCGGTGCGACGGGCGATCGTACACAACCTCGCGCTCTACGATGCGCTCGTCATCGACAGTGTCCCAGTTCAAGGAGTGTCGGTGGCGGTGTCGCCGGTCCCAATCGCGGCTCCACTGAGCCTCTTCGGCTCTGCGTCGCTTGGCGCGGCGGATGTCGTCTGACAAGTTGACAAGTTCAAGGACGTCCTCCTATGGAAACATTGTGTTAGCATGCTGATCTTTAAACCAAAAAGGCGTGCGACGTTTGACGCGGTGCCACAGAAACGAGAATGAGACTTACATAGCGGAGGTACTGCATAACGTAGAAGAACCACTCTGTCTCCTCATATTCGTACCCCATCCGTTCGATGGCTTCACGAAGCACGAGATCCTTAGTAATCTCGGTCCACATCTCGCTCCGCTTCCGGGGCGGCGCTCTATCGCCATCGCGGATGGAAATCCGTCGGTCTTGGATCTCCTCGACCTCGACGTCTCGGTCGCGCGATCTCTCTCGTTTGTCGTATACTTGTATGCTGAGCCGGTCTCCACGTGATGAATCCTGTTCTCGAAAAGATTCTCGAATTGTTTCTCGAATCGGTTCGCTTACAGCGCTGATGGGTGTTCCCTCCCGATCGGGGATGAACTTGGACCGTCTCACGCCGCTGTAGCGCTGCCAGGTCACTTCGGCGCCGGCGCCTCCTGCACCATCCATTTTCACGCGCTCCGTGCCGGGCGGCACGTCGACGATTGTCCAGTCTTTGGTAGCGCCGTTCCATGCCTCTCCCATGCGACCCCTTGAATCGATCTTATCGGTGATATATTCAGCTTCATCTTCATAGTCTGGTCTTGGGGGTGGCGCAGCAGAGTGAGCTCTTCGTCGAGAGTCTACACGAAGGATGTCGTGGTCCCTCTCAATTACTAAGTCGTCCTCATCGTAATAAGTTGGCTGCCTGCGCGGACGAGGGCGCTCGATGCGCGGGCGAGACCGCGACCGAGTTCGTTCGCGGACATCAATATCTGTCTCATTACGGCGGATATCAATATCGATATCTATGTCCCGCTCTCTAATTTGAGGCGGTGCAGTACGCGGGGGTGGGGGTGGAGTTGGAGGTTTAGCCCGTATGAGACCTATTCGAATATTAGAATGAGACTGTCTCGAGTTATAGGTTTCATAAGTTGGCAAAACTTACCGTGGTCTATGTCACGATAGTGCGTGATGACCTCGCGCTCGATTGTAGGACCTCGGATGACTGCTGGAGGGGGAGGTGGAGGCGGGGGTGAAGGACTAGGTTCAGGAGCACGTTCTTTTTCACGTTCAATTCGTAGGTGGATGAAATCCCGATCCCGTTCCCGTTCTGGAGTTGGTGACCTTTCACGTCGCCTTTCAATTGTGCGAGATTCTACTCGCACGGCGGTGGGAGGTGGAGATGGTGATCGTTCGATAAATCTAGGCCGACGCTCCGGAGGCATCGAAGGAGCCCGCTCACGGTCCCTCTCGACAATGCGTTCGCGGTAGTGAACAGGACTGGGGCTGCGAGGACGTCGCCGGTCAACTGTCTCAACTTCACGCTGACGCAGGACTAGCGCTCCGGCTTCTGGCCTTCTAACATCTTCTCTAAGAAATGCAGGAGTGCGGTCATTTCGCTCTCGTTCCCGGTCTTGGACTTGGATGTTTACATCTTCATACTCCCTCACGGGTGCTCTGCGTGGTGGGCTGCGACGTCGTGCCAAGGACTCGAGGTCATCATCCCGAGCTGGTGCCCTCCGCGGCGGACCGGATTCATAATATCTATCGTCCACTTCGGACCGACTAGTTCTATAAGACATCTCCTTAAGCTCCTTAAGCCTTAAGCTTAAAATAAACTTTCCTTCTTAAGGGAATCGTCTATAGAGTAGATGAAGAGTTGAGATTATTAATTGGTGGTGGTGTTGGTGGTGTTGGTGAAGGATTCACCGCTGGGGTGTGTCACTCTGCGACGGTAGCGGGGTAGAGGAGGAACCTCAATAGCTGTAGACTGATACGGAAATGATCAACACCAAGAATAAATACTGTAGGCTGCGTGCCGCGGTATTCGACCTTGAATCTCCTGAAGTACTGAAGTATCAACTCCCTAGCAGAATAGCTTGATGGTTTGTTTAACAGTAGTTGGAAGAAGTAAAAGTTCAGTCTGAGTTATGAGTTATTAGAGCTGAAGGTTGTCGTCAGGACCTCAAGCTGGGGGGGGGGTCACAAGATTTGTAGGCCGGGATTTGCACCGTTTGCTTGTACTGTAAACTAGCTAATAAGGCCTCATCGGATTGGGTGTCAATGGTGTCAAAGCAGTGATACAAAACTGACAGGTTCGCGGAGAGAAATGCCAGATGTCGTTGCGAGTTTAAAGTGTAATTCTGAACTGGAGAGAAGCTAAGGGAAGACAAACGTCGTCATACCACAGTAGCTGGGAGACCCGAGACTAATAAAGCATACGAAAAGTAGCAGGGGGGTTCGCTTGGAGCGGTGGACGGGAATCAAGGAAGCTTAGGGCTGTTAAGCTAAGCTAAGCTCCTCACGTCTTGACGATACTACGTCCGGTACGAGGAAAGAGAGTGGAGGGGGGAATTGGGGGGTAGCGGGTAGAAGAGAAGAATGTCACGGAATCAGGCGAAGAACCTATGCAGGTAACCATCAATAAAAAAATAGAAATATAGATTCAGATTGTGGCTTGGCTTTCTTTTGGCTATGGCCATGGCTATGGTTATGGATGGCTATGGCCTCCCCCGTCCTAAGATGTCTTAGGTCCTTGGGATGTCTCAAATGTCTTGAGATTCTGCGTGAACCTAGTGTATGTATGTATGTATGTATGTCCTTATGTCGCTTACTCAACTCAGCAGATCGCTGCAGGCTGAGCGTGACGGATGCCCTCGTGAGACAGCAAGGCCATGCTAGTACCTATGCCATGCTAGTATGTGAGACAAGCAAACGGCCATACGCTGTTGGGCAGCCAAATGAGCAGGCTGCGCATCCAGGCCAGTAGCGTTATGCAATATCGACCATGCGATAGACCGGGGCATACATAACCACGCGCCACCTTTGCTCACGATACCTCCTTGGTCCTTGGTCCTTGCTTTTTGGTCAACTCATGTTGCGCTGCGTCAGAAATGCCGAATACTCTCCTCACCAGTTTTACCCAGCATACCAGTATTTCTGCTTCTTTCAGCGTCGAAAGAAATCGAATACATCATACATAACATCGGGTTGCATATTCTATATGCCAAGTCGCAGGTGAGTGGTTGGAGGGGTTGGTAGATGGGCATTCGGATAGGTGCAGAGAAGCCTGAAGGAACCTGAAGCAGGAAGAAAAATGGTGGGGTCGAAACCAGTGGGGAGGACGCTGACGCAATGATGCAGTGGTTGCAGTTGCAGTAGTAATGCTTTCCCTGTCTTTTGCCTATCTACCTACGGAATAGCCGCTCCTGTTTTTTTCGTAAGGCCTCCGTACTTCGTACATGTACATATGTACCTACATAGATGTCCACGCTTGGACCATTTGGACCGTAACGTGATGTGCCTGCCCTATGTACATACATATGTAGGTATTGATGTACATAACTTTGTACCGACTTCGCTGCGTGTACATCAAATATGTACATATTTTACCTAATAATATGTACCTGGTTACATGTACATACGTACATACATACACTAATGCGCTTAGATAATGTGGACCGTATATAATTCGTTATGAAGACGGGCAGAAATCACGGGATTCTAATTCGACAATTCCAAGAACAAAAGATGCTCAAACAATCTGCAATCTGCAATCTGCAAGGGATTTCCGGACTATGGCACTATTGGATATTTGTTGCTGTCCCCATATAACCAGGAACTCCCTTATGAGGGTTAGTTATACATACGTGACGATCTAGCTATTGGGCATCAAGCCAACCTGAGATGGATGGCGTGTCGCTCTTGAGAACCCTGCGTCAGGATACCCCTGACATCGACGAACTCATCTCGGTTCCAGATCTCATAGGACACAGGGAGCCTTCCAGGAGGTTCGCCATGGTTTTAGGAAGATCTCGTGACCAATTGAACTTCGGAATTGGTTCGCCTAAGCTGATCCGCAGATCAAAGTCACCGGGCCGTGCCGGATATCGTTGAGTTTCTTGAATCCAAACGGCCTATGTATCTAATCTACTTGAACGAACATCCCCAACGTATGGTCCATGTAGGTAGGTGTCGATTTATTTCAGGGCTGCTATTACTTTGACGGATATGTATGTAGGCAGACAGCTAGTCTACACTATACCAAGACACGCGGAGGAACTAACCTAGGTTAAAGGTTTCCATCAACTACTAAAGTAGAGGGTTATAGCCTGTGACTCACGAACTGCTAGTTGATCTAGACCCTTTAGCGGCTTCGAAAACACACAAGCAAGACTTTTTCTTGAACAGCCTACTCTTTTATACAAGCAAAATATTATAACTTTACATTCTTTAATTATATATATTACCACAGCGTATATACACAGAATAGGCGCGAGCTAGTCCTCTTTACCATGCTGCTTCTGCTTAGACATGTCCGCTTAGCACTAGAAGTCTGCTTTTAAGTTTTAGATGTCGACATATAACCCCCGAGATGACCAATGTGTAAATATCTCCCTTCTTTTTCTCGACATGCCCCATCTTCTACGAGAGTATGTAGGTATATATGTATCCGGCTCATTACTCGGTTACTTTAAGTCACGGTACTTCTTTATAGTGTCCCTCGCCCATTAACTCGACGGGGTTCGTATCACCCGACATCTCTTGTGGATGTTGTTGCTGTTGTTGCTGCTGTTGCTGGTAATATTGTTGCTGGTAGTGTGCTCCATTATCCCCGGCCGGCGGAGTATACGCCCATCCTCCATCTTGCATGAACCCCGCCTGTTGCGGATACCCTGCTGTTGCTGAGGTAGGTTGTGCGTATCCATCCGAAGTCATAGCATAGCCCATCTGGTGTGGGTAAGCAACCCCTTGTTGTGGCAGCAGCTGCTGCTGCTGTCCATATCCAGGTTGAAGCGGCTGAGCCTGTGGGTATCCTGCATATGTCTGTGGTGCACCGTACACATATCCGTCGGCACCAACCGCCGTTTGAGCCCCATCAGGACCGTACGCTGGTCCTGGTCCTGCATATCCATTCTCCGGCTTATATTGATCTCTTCTCACCGCCGCCATCGCCGCCGCAGCAGCCTCGTCGATTCTCCGCTGTCGCCGGCGTAACAGCCATAATACAAATGGCGTGCCTGCAAGCGCGATAATGCCTAGTGTTACGCCAATGCTAATGCCTGCTTTAGCACCGTCACTTAAACCCCCATTATCTCCATCTGGTGGCGACGTAGTTGTCGCCGCTGGTGCCTGCGCTGTAGCAGCCTGGCTTGTGTTGGTGCTGGGCAGTACGGTGGCTGGCTGCCATTTCCCGTGGTCGCCGTTGACCTCGACTATGTGGCCGCCGCTCATGTAGTACAAGCGCGTGGTGCGGCTCCCGGTGTCGCTTGCGATGCCGATCGTGGCACCGGCCGCGTCCGCTACGGGCCAAGATTTATCATCGTCATCTGGGCGCGGGGCTATGCTCCACGTGCTGTTACCGTCACTGTTACTGACCTGGTACAGTTTCTTATCAGTACCGATGTAGAAAATGCTACGCGTATTCTTGTTGTTGATGGTCACGGCGAGCGCAGATGCATTGCCATCCCAAGCTGGGAGGCTAAAGTTCTGGCTACTAGAGCTGAGCTTGAGGTCAGACGCCTTTGTTGCATTTGTTGAGTGGTTCCCCGTCAGTGTTAACGACTGTGGAAAGGTTGCTGAAAAATCATGATTAGCGCTATGCTTGAATAAATCTTGAGGACAGCCTCACATATATGCCACATGTCATCGCCATCAAATTGTGACACTCCCATATTCTCGCCATCTCTAGGCCTCACGACTGAGATGTTACTGCTGGAGAAGGTAGATCCAATAGCCTGGGAAGAGGCTGCATCATGGGAGATTACACCATAATAAGACCATGTCGTGCTGGGCGTGTATCCGATTGCGTGAAGAGTCCCTTCGAGGTCATTGTAATATACTCGGTATCCTTCCGTTGATCCAAGCAGCACAGCTGATAATCCCGAGTCTGGCGCTACTTTAGGAGCTCCTCCAGAGACGACGTACTCGCCCGTATTTTCCCAATGTCCTGTATTCCAATCACATTCCAGGAGCGCATTGACAATTTCATCGTTGTTATCCATGTAGAAAATCGATGCCTGTTAGCTGGCGTCAGCGAACTCTCACTTTGATTTAACCGGCTCCACTTCGCCCATTTCGCAATGGTGAGAATATCTCAGCTTTTACTTACCCGAGCGGTTTCGCCATCCATCCACCCGGTTGCGGACAGGCCCGTTTTGTTTTTCGGCTGGTGGTCCTTGAAGGGAGCCACGAGCGTCTCGTCGTCTGGAAATATTGGTGTGTAGTTGCCATTGCAAAGGCTATATCGTATGCTGCCCGTATCGTCGTCCTGCATAATAAAGCTGGGAGCCCTTGTATTCCACCACGCTGCAATGGAGCCACATGACACTTGTCCTGCAAGCAACCATATTGATAGGTAAAGGAGGGATGTGAATTTCGTAGCCATCATCGTAAAGGAGCGCGTAGGCTCGTCGGAATCCGCTTAGATAGTGATGTGCCAAGAGAAAGCTAGCATGTGATAATAATAGCCATTATCGTGCTAATACTCAAGTGCAGATAGAAGCAAGACAAAATCTAAATAAACATAAAACACATAAAACAATAGAAAGATCTAAAGAAGGAAAAAGATAAAAATGTGATTCAAAAAAGAGAGAATTATGAGAAATAGGACTGATGAGATCTAACCTAGGTAATAAGTCGTATCTGGTAAGCCACTAACCTAAGTGTGTAGATGATATATATATGTGCAGGGATAAAATAGAATATACCCCGACTGATCGATTGGGGTGAAAGTCTGCAACAAGCAATCCTGATCTACCAACGCCTTCATTCATATGTATGCAAGGCCCGCAAGAATCAAGACCTTTACTCCTTCGGACCTGGGGTCTGGAGAGGACGTTGCAACGGGAAGGATTCAGGGTTACTCGCATACCTACTTTTCGATCGACAACTGGCGATACTAGCCCAGACTGGCTTGATTAATCGGGTAGGCGAGATAATAGTACGTAGTTACATCGTACGTCTAGACCATTAGGTATGTATGTAGCTTGGCCTCTTCTAAGAACTAATATAATTGTAAGCATTAAGGCCTAGGTAGGTAGTAACTTAGAAGGGCATATATGATTTGTGATTGGATCTAGGTATATATGTTTAACATTAGGTAGTTAGACTGTTAATGCAACGATGTATTAGCTAATTATATAGGGGTTTTTCAATGTATGTAAAGTTATCTTTGGGGGGCTACAAGACGCCTCGAACTACAGGTACCTTAGTTACATAGCAACAGCGAGGTTTACCGTTGGTAGTATTTTATATAAATTAGCGGGCGGCACAGCTTGTGGCCGATTGAGTACTTTATAATAAAAGGACTGAAACTGTACGAGCTGTTAGAGCTGTCTTAAACTAGGAGGCGGTAAGTTATTAAGAACTCGTATGTTGGAAATTGGAAATGGTTGGAGGTTAGACTGGCAAGTTTAGAGTCGCATTGTTCTGTTTTCGACGCGTCTTCGTTCATGTGTAGATCTGACGTCGTAGGTAGTATTTTCGGATTGAGACTCGGGACTTTGTAGGTTAGTACATAGTGGGGGCCTTTATCTGATTGCAACTTAATACCTAGGTACCTAAGCATGTGAAATTCCGAGTCTAGCAATCGAATACAAAAGCTCAATGAATAATAGTTGGAACATACCTACCTATCCATATCCTTACCTAGTTTTATCATTACGAAATATTAATTCCTTTTTTTACCAATACCAAAACAGCTTATAAAAGTCAAGTCCTGTTGGTCCTGGAAAAGGCAAGTACAAGATACAGCGAGTTTCCAGGAATAGCAGCTGATGGCGTTTGAAAACCGAGAAGAGGCACGTGCCCTCGGCCGGGCATTCCGAGACACGCCGGGTTCTCCTTCCTATTCTAAGACGATGTGGCTTGCTGGGGGCGTAATCACTGCATATTGTGGCGCAACCAACTTTCAGTCCGTCAACTCTTTTGTTTCTCTGTTTCTCTGTCTCTTTGTCTCCTATGATTTTAGTCTATCTTAATTGTGTTGGTTAAAACAGAGGTATTTAGCAGTTCTGACCCTTTTTTGATCATTCGGATCTAACTGCAATTTGCCGAGGACCGAGGTTCAACCAAATTAAAAAGGCAAAGCTGGCTAGTCTGGACTTAGAAACATAGCAGCTGATTTCCCTATGACTGTTATGTATCTCAAGCTTCGCCAAGGATCAGGAGTACTTCAGCACAACAGCGACGGCGCTTACCGGCTGCTTACCGCCAAGGTAAGCTCAGGCGTGGCTGATATCCCTGCATGAATTGCCGTTTCATTCAGGACAATCTTCACGATTCAGTCCCGGAGTTCTGGATTAAGCCCAGTTGCTTCAGCCCAACGGCGGCTTTGCTTACTAGGATTTCAGACAAAGTTTGAATATCTGTCGAAACAGCCACGCATAATTCTGTCCTTTACCCAATCGGATAGACCCTCTACCCCAGATTATACATGCTATGACTACTTGATGGGCCGCTGCTTTCTTGGCCAAATCACATACGGCCCCGAGAGGCTGAAGTTATATATACACTTTATCCCCTCCCATCCAATCTTCATACACTCCAAACAATATCATACACCAACTAAACCCCTCGCCTTATCCGACCTGCATTCACCGACCCTGTAAAACACACCTTTACAAGCATCCCATATCTTTCCTACTTTGCTGACTTTCGGTAACCGCTTAGCGCACCCAGAAGAGGACATAAGGTGAATGATAATAATGATAATAGGACCTCAAGCTAATAAAGGATAAATAACCCTTTATGTTAGTAGGGTATTGAAAAGGTAAGAGATATGAGGGATATACGAATAACTAAGAGTTTCACTCAAAATATTCTGAGCGAATTAAACATTAAGATGCTTGAGACAAATAAAGTCTGGCTGCATATTCATGGCCCAATATTGGTTATGGCATTGTGTTCAACTTCTCTATGAATAACTTACCCCTATTTATTCTCACTACTGTGCAGCAAGACTTCGCATTATCTATCACATGCGTGGTAGGCCCTTATGTATAACCATATGAGATCCTGTTAGATTGTCACAAAAACCGGTTTATCTAGAATGCCATGAGATTTCGTCTGAATATAATGATAATGACGTTGTTTTGATAAGCAGATGTCCTAAAAATAGACTGATTGTCGTGAAACGGGGACGTCAACTTCATGACGCTCCATCGATATCTCAAGATACCTTAAAAGTAAATCATGACCATGCTCGCATAACCGTACCAATCTATCTGCCTAGGTATTGTCCCAATGTTGTAACTCCCAACCCAACCAGCCGCCCATGTTCTCTAGTCCCTAATCCATTTTACTATTCAATGAGTCCGCGCTTTGCGTCTTTGGCTATCAGTCCGACCAAGCTCTTCTCGGGCAATGGGTATGGAGGACGCCCGCCGAGGATGTCGACGACTTCCTTGTTGTCTAACCAATGGGCTGCTGTCGGACGTCGATTCTTCCAGTCCGTCTCATTCTCTTCTACCTGATCCATGGGCGAGAAAGTCACGTGTGCGCCTTTGATACCAATAACGGATGCGCTTAGAGGATCCTGAATTATCTTTTCCGGGTTCTTCTGCGGTTTGGGGCCGTACTTCTCAAGGTGCTGTATGCACTTGATAGCTAGCCTGACGGCACGGCATCTGTCCATGGCTGAGGGGACACCACCCTGCTGAACGTGGCCGGGGATGCTATCTCGAGATTCAAACCTGTCATGAGCTTCCTCTCGGATGATATCTGCGATAAGCTTGGCTGAGTAAACTTTGCTTGCCTTCTCGTTGACAAGGATTAGTCGGCCTGCTCGTGATTGGCCTCTATCTCTCGTGAAAACGTCTTTTAGATGCCTGACATCTGCATTAAGCATGTCTAAACTGATCCCTTCTTCTGGAATGTAGACGGCACTCGCACCGACGCCTAATCCTCCTAGAATTGCTACGTATCCACACCGACCACCTTGGGTTTCAATAACGAACACTCGCCTTCGGGTGGCTGACGCAGACTGTTTAATCTTGTCGCAGTAGGCGACGAGTTCATTTAGACAAGTATCAGATCCTAGGGAATATTCTGTGCCTGGGACATTGTTCGAGATGGTTGCTGGAAGTAGAGTCATGGGAATACAGAGCGAAGGATACTTGGCTCTGGCTTTTCGAAGTTGCGAGATTGAATGGAAGGCCTCGAAACCGCCGATTAGGAACAAAGCATCGAATTCGTACTTCTCGATTAACTTGGCGATTAGCTCCATACCGGATTCTTCTGGGAGCTCCCGGTTCGTTCCAATTTCGGAACCTCCTTTGCTCGCCCATCCGTCTACTTCGAGCCAATCGAAGTGTCGGACAGCACCTAATGGCGCGTCACCGTGATGCCGGGCAAATCCAGCAAATCCATTGTGAATTGCGAGAGGCTCATGCCCGCCTGTAACCATATAATTAGAATTTCCAATTTATAATAAGGGGAAGAATATGCTATGGTAAGATTCACCCTTCTATGCCGTAAAGGGGGGCGGCTATGAATTCAATGGGGGGGGTATCTTACGGGATCGGCAATAAGCCACACCTGCACGGATAGCAGCGTTCATACCACCAGCGGGTGCTCCAACGTTGATAAACCCGATTTTCATCCTCTATAGCGGAGTTAGCGTCCATCGCTAGCATTGATAGCAGTCTTATACACTTACCTTGGAATCTTCTAGATGTATATCTTGGTCAAGTCCCATAGTAGTAGTCATCATGTAAGACTTGTATTGGTCGGAGAATTCAGTGTCACGGAGTGACATTGCTTTGTCGAAGTCCTGAGCTTCGATAGCCGTCGCTACCTTCTTGGTCTCTTGTACGGCGGCCATCAGAGGTATCCGGATGATCTTGTTCTCGGTAATAGCAATAACACATGTCTCGGTCTCCGGTGTAGCCTCAAGTACAGCCTTGACAGCTTCCACTCCTTGTAGCGTGGCGAGCATCCTGTCGTAGGCCACTGCGGTTCCTCCTCTTTGAACGTGGCCGAGAGTTGTGATGCGGGTGTCCAGGGCTAGGCCCGATTTGTCGGCAAGGAGATCTTTCACCATCTCAGGCGTAATCTTCGTTCCATGCCTATCAAGGGCACCTTCTGCGATAATAACAATGGTTTTACGTTTGCCCCAGTCTCGGTGCTTGTGAAGTTAGCATAAGCCCCCCTTTTGATTACACCGTTAAGTCTGGCTACATACCTTCCTGATAACTTGACACATCTCCTCTTTCCAATTGTCCTCCCTAGGTTTCTCTGGGATAAAGATGAAGTCGGCACCGGTAGCTACACCTGCCATCAGAGCTAACCAACCGCAATGCCTCCCCATCACCTCTATTACGAAAGCGCGGGAGTGCGAGGAGGCGGTGGCTTCGATATAATCTACCATTTCGCATACACGGGCTAGAGCTGAATAGGCGCCAATGGTGGCATCGGTCCCGGAAAGGTCATTGTCAATTGAACCTACGAGCCCTACGATGTTAAGGTGTTTGTAGGGTTCGATCTGTTTGGCTTGTAGCTGGCCTGTAGATACGAGCTCTT